TGGCTTGAGCGAAGGACATATTAATTATATCGAATATAATAAATTTACAGATCCTATTATGATCGGCATTGGAGGGTTTGGAAAAGTTCTTAAATGTGAGTGGAAAGACAATGAATTAACGGTTGCTCTTAAATGTCTTAAAGTTGATGCAAACATGGATGAAAGGACTATTAAAGGTTTTATTAATGAGGTATTATTTGTTATATTAAAACTTTAATACCATTCTACTTAGAATATCAAATTCTTATAATTCTTTTAATTAGCTTAAACTATTACGAACCATCTGAACATTAATTCATTTCATGGAACCGGAATCACCAAAGGTAACAAGCAATTTATAATTTTTGAAGTTATCAAATTCAAATAATGATTTGTAAGCAAAAACATTCATCAAATCGAATAGTATTTATATAACAATGGATATTATAATATGTTTTACAATATGCTGACAACGGAACTTTACGAGAATACCTAATGGCAAATTTTACTAAATTACAGATAAACTACTCATTGATAAAGAAATAGCTCATGGCTTTTATTTTTACACAATAATAATATTATTCATAGAGATCTAGTAGGTACTGTACAGTGCTAGATTTTTATATTTATCGGTTATTAATTTACTAACTAATACGTACATATTATATTTTAATAATTTAATAATTTAGCATTCGAATAATATCTTAATATCAAAGACAACCACAGATTACAGATTTTGGACTGTCAAAGCAGATGAATGAAATATCTATGACTTCAAACTCAATTGTTCATGGGGAACCTAAATGCCTTATTGATCACAAATATAAACGTGATAAGAAATCTGACGTTTATAGCTTTGAAGTAATTCTTTGGAAAATTTCAAGTTGAAGACCTCTATTTCAAATTTTTGAATCAGCAGGATATTCGCTTGGAATAGAGAAAAGCCCATAAAAGGTACGCCATCTCAAGTGTTGGGACAATGATCCTGTCAATCGCCCAAAAACCAAATCAATTCTCAGTATTTTAAACAAATTTATTTCTAATGAAACTTTGAGTCAATATGATCCTATTAAAGCGTCATCTCAAAACAGCGAAACTTTTACAAATCATGAAGGTGATATAAACGCATTTTCATCATCTCAACAAAATCCAAATATTTCTGCTAATATTCTTGAGAATATGAGGGAGGAAGCACGTGAATGTTTTAAGCAGGACAAGTTTCTCAAGGCATTAGACTTTTATAAAAAAATCCTCAAGAACAGCCAGCATAGTAGTGATTATCAAAAAAATGCCTCAACTTGAATTTTTTTTATGAATAAATGTCAGATGCACTTTGAGAGAACGCCACGCTGACTTCTTTGAATCTTGAATGTAACGAGCTTGGATAATAAGGAGGAAAAGCATTGAATTCATTTCGCAAAAACACTACTCTAATTTTTGAATCTTAAAAATAATAAACTTTGGGTCAGGAAGAGAAATGCAATAGCAAATACATTTTACAGGACATTACATTAACTTTTATAAATTTTGAAAGTAATTAACTTGAATTGGAAGGAGGAAAATATTAGCAGATACTAAAAGTTTGAATATTAATAATTATAATCTTGGATTAGAGGAAGAAAAAACATTAGAAATGTCCCTGCAAAAAGTACTATATTAAGTTTTAAATTTTTAATATAATTCTCTATTAAATATTATTCTCTTTTCTTTCACTTACGTTTTTAACTATTAGAGATCAATTATATAGTTTATCATCAATAAAATTCCAATTATATATTTTATTTACGTGTTAAATTACCAGTAACTAAATATTTAAATTAAAATATGCATATTATTTTATTATTTAGTTCATTTTATTCGCGTTAATTGTAAAGAATATTTATTATTGCTTTAAATTAATTTATGACTATTTAATTATTATTATTATTTTTTTTTGCATGTAGTTAGCGTCCCAAATGTCGTTAAGTGTCGATGTTGAGGTGGGTGATGGTTGACTCAGGGAAGGTTTTGTTCAATGTAATTTTGAATTTTGATGAACCATACGACACTATATCATGTGTACATTCTGAACTCAAATTATTCTTCGACTAATTAAAAATTGCGAATTGATTATGTTATTCTTATTGTTCGAAATTCAACATATAAAAAATTTATCTAAAAATTTTATGGCAAGAGTTATTTAAAGTATTTTGACAATCGATTGTTATACTTACAGCAAATAAATGCAATTTTAATAATAAGATTTCTGATTTCGAATAAAATTATGCCGTATTTGCTTCTAAATAAGTGTCCTATAAATAATATTTTTTTTACGTTTAAAATTTCTTTTTTCAACTTAAGCGAAGATTTCTCAACGATTGTCTAACTAAATTTGATGAAATTTTTTTTATTTTAATTCGGGAAATATTTATTTATTGTTTCAAAAAATTTGCCGCAGCCTAAGTAAAGGTTTCTTGATGAAATTTTTTTATTTTAATTAGATAGGATTACAAAATTAAAATAAAAAATATCACGGAATTTGGTTAGATATTCATCGAAAAGCCTTCGCTTAAAATTTTAATATCCATAAAAAAAAGCTGTAGCAAAATTTTTTTTTTAACATTAAATGTATATTTCTCAATAACTACATAACCAAATTTGATCCTTCCTTATTTTTGACTTTACAAACACGTAGAATTGAAATAAAAAAAAAGTCATCACGTTTGATCATGTTTTCATCGAGAAATTTCAGTTTAAAACTTAAAAAAATTTCGAATCCAAGAAAAAAAAGAATAAATTTCTTTTTTAAGATTTCTCGGTGAAAATCATGATCAAATTTAATGGAAATTTTTTTTTTTTTAATTTTGCTTGTTTATAGAGTAGAAATAAAAAAATTATCGAATTTGGTTATGTAGTCACTGAGAAATATTTATTTAAAGTTTAAAGGGACACTTAAAGAACAGTGAACCCAGTGAACATCACATCATGTGAAATAATGGAATGACGCCATTTGTTTACTAGCACTAGCAGATTTGGCCTAAACTATACTATCACCTAACCCTAACACTAACCCTAACTTAGGTCGAATGTTTAATTATGTGATGTGATGATCACGAAGATATCACTGGGTTCACTCTTCTTGAAACTACCCGTTAGATGTTCGTCGAGAAAACTTGCTTAAAGTTTTAATGCCTATAAAAAAGAAGTTGCGGCAAATTTTTTTTCAGTGACTACATAATAAAATTTAATAAAATTTATTTTTTATTCGATTCCGCAAACACGTAGAACTATAATAAAAAAATCTCATCAAATTTGGTTAGATAATCGTTGAGAAATCTTATAAAGTTGAAAAAAGAAATTTCAAACTTTAGCGAAGTTGTCTCAACGATTATATAAATAAATTCGATAAATTTTTTTTTATTTTAATTCTAATAACTTATAGAATTAAATAAATAAATAAGAATTCATCAAAGTATTCATCAAGCAATGTTGGCTCAAAGTTTTAAAAAGCCTCTAAATTTTAGAAGAATTTCATTGCCGGCTATCCCCCGACGTATTTCGACGTCAGATCGACGCGGAATTTTTAGGTTATGGGTTGTTAAAACAAAACAGATCGACACGGATTAGCCCGACACGTCGCTGTTGTGTTACAATTGGATTTGATCTTAAAAATCGATATCGATATCAGTTTATAACAAAAAAATGCACACTTACGTGTTTATGCAACAAGCCTTCTCAACTTTTACCTAAAAATGTTAAAAGTGCTTTCACGATTTTTAAGGCCGCGCAAAGTTTTGCATTACATGGATTTCAGAATCAACGGTCGGATTTTTTTTCTTTTTTTATTCTACGGTAAATAATAGACTCATATTCACATTTAAGGTCACGCATAGTTAATTTTTCGCTTTACATAACATGGAATCAGAAAATTGGGTCGGCAATCGAATTTTTTTTTATCAGTTCTATCGGGCTAATCTACGGGGAAAAATTAAATGGCAAAAATAGATAAAAAAAAAAATCGAAAAATTGAAAAAATGGGTCGGTGGGTAATGCAAAACGAAAAATTTACTTTGTGTGGCCTAACCAAAACATCAAATAAGAAGCTTTTGTTCATTTTTTCAATAGTGGTAGAAAAACTTAGAAAATAAAGACAAGAAACCAAAAGAATATAAAAAAAGAAATTTATTAGATTTTTCAAGGTAAGATAGGGAGGGGTTTTATTCGAACCTGAATTTTTATTAACTTCTCTGTTTATTTATAACCTTTTCACAAAAGTCTCGGTTACAGAGAAGGGGAATATTTATCTGATTTTCCTTATTATCAGATTTTTTGAAAATATTTGGACGTTTCATATTCCATTTTTATTGAATTTATTCATACTAATTTCTTTTATTTATTTTTAGCACGAAATTTAAATACTTGGAATTTATTTTAGATTTTCATATACAATTATACGCCCTAATGTAGCTTCACCTGATTTGTTATTATTTAATTTTTCGTTTTCAGAATTTCCAATGCATTTAAGTTGCTCAACTTATATTTTCGCATTTATTTGTGTTGACTTATTCGAATGCTAATTTACATTTCCCCTCTATTAGCATATTTTGCCTCTACATCTAATTCTTCCGGCATTGCCATTTTTATTAGATATTTCTTTTATCTTCTAGACATTTGGACTGGAATTTAATGATGTGATTATCAATCTCCTTATTTCCACTATCACATCAATTCTATTTATTACTACACCTCTTTTTTGACAACAAAACCGAAGAACCTTTTTCACTTCAGCGTTTCCTATTTCTACAGATTTTTGATAAGATCTTAATGCCTTGTATCTTTTTTCAAATATATTCGCTTAAAATTTGTTGTAATATTTCAGGCAGGTAAAAAGATTTCGCCCGAGTAAGTTATTTTACACTAAAATTATTCTGTTCTGATGAAATTATTTCTTACTGTAGCCCGTAATACTAATTTATTGTCTTATATTTCATTGCCTAATTGAGATTGAGCCAGAAACTCGATCCTAGGCTAAGATAATATGGTCAATGGCTTTCTGCACTTCTCATAGAATATGGTTTGAGAGTAGGCTCTGCAAGTCGAAGAGGTTTAGTTTTTACTTGGTACTTCGCACTCTTGTCTGGATTATTCGTTATGTGAGGGGAGTTCTGCATCCCGGTTAAGGAGCAGAGGTGGGAAGCAGAGTTAGGCGTAAAGATCTACAGATCTTCAAGAAAGGGCTGTTATGCATCTTTCTTTATAACAAGAAACAACTTGTTACAGCCTAACCATTTTGACCTAGTTTTAATATTTGAGAAAATTCTCATCATTTTATTAGTTGATTTAGATTGAGCCAGAAACTCGATCCTAAGCTAAGATAATATGGTCAATGGCTTTTTGCACTTCTCATAGAATATGATTTGAGAGTAGGCTCTGCAAGCAGTCAAAGAGGTTTAGTTTTTACTTGGTACTTCGCTCTCTTGTCTGGATTCGTTGATGTGGGGGGAGTTCTGCATCTCGGTGGGGGGCAGAAGGTGGGAAGCTGAGTTAGGCGTAGAGATCTACAGATTCTCAAGAAAGGGCTGTTATGCATCTTTATTTATAACAAGAAATAACTTGTTACAGCCTAACCATTTTGACCTAGTTTTCTTATCTGAAAATTTTTAGTCTTTTTTTTTTCTTACAAAAACTATTCAAGAGTTCAAGAGACCACTATATAAAAGAATTTTACATTCACACGATTCTGGTTGAATTTCAATCATGATAATTTAGATAGTACATTTTATCAACATTCCTCACGTTGGCAGTTACTTAGTAATAACTGATGCCTTATGCTCATTCATTTTATCTTTATCACAATCGTTATCAAGGTTCGGTCTTTTACACTTTTTGGGTATTTAATGCTCATCTTCTTCGGCATAATCCATCTCGTGGCTTTTTAGTGCTTAATAACATCGAATTCATCTTTCTTCAAACCAATTTCAATGGCCGTGCTCAAAAGTTTGTCCATCCTTGTCTCTGGTTTCGTTTTCATAGTGACAATCGAGGCTAAATGATTCTTTATCGAACTTCATATCAGTGGGATTTTGATAGTAAGTGAATACCTTATTTTTGTGTTCTCTCCAATTCTTCATTTTAATAGTAATCACTTTTGGGTTCCAGAACAGCATCCACATTTAATACATTTTCTTTTTGGCTGATTTTCAGTTTAGGGTATCGCAGACTTATTAAGGTTTCTTTCTTTAGTCTGACTTTATCTCTTCTTGGGTTTCTCTCTTCAGACCCAAGTATATCGCATTCAAGATTTAAAAAAGTCACTGAAGTGTTCTTGCAAGTGATATTTGCTGATATTTTACCTTCATCGTTTTTTTGGGAGGATTTTATTGAGCAACTTTCCTGGGTAAGTATTATCAGGCACCTATTTTAGAGGACAAATGATAATGGGTTGCTGCCTTGTGTTCAACTGCTCTATATTTAAGAGGCGGTGTTTTCGCAATATAACTCATCTCTGTGGATTTCTATTAGTTGTCTTTCTCGTCTCCAGTTTCATTTTCCCAAGCTTTTCAGTTGCGCTAATATAATCTTTGGCTTGTCTTGTTTTGAAAGGGTTTTAATAATTGCGGGGCTAGAGATGGGAAAAATATGCATTAATGCGCACGTTATATAAAATGCATATGATATCGTATGATATAATTTTTTTTGATTTTATATTTTCCCTCTAGAAAATGTCGGGTATTTGCCAAAATTTTTTTCCAACCCTTCACATCTTTATGTTTATTCATTTTCTTTTCATGAATTTTCAAAACTTTTACATTTCTATTTGTTAATTTTGCCTGGCATTATACACCTTGGCCTAATTTTAATATACTTTAATTTTCCTATATAAAATTTAGATGGGATAAAATGTGCATTAATGCGCACGATTGAGGAATCATGTGCATGCATGAAACCCATCTCTACGTGGGGCCGACTGGACTTCCAAAATTACTCAGGACGGCTGACCAGACCGATTATTCTATTAAAAAAATTTCTCTTAAACTATTAGTTTGACATGAAATGGATAGCTTTATTGATTATAAATATAGATTCAGTTTAATACATATTTGAATCAATTAATCAGTGATCATAATGATATATTGTATTAAAACTTAAAAATCAAAGAAATATATCTACTGTATTGGTGCGTAATAATGCGTATCTGTGCTTATTTTGAGACCCTGCGCGTTATTTTGGGACGTGCATGCGCGGTAGTTCGAATAATTCTGATATATTTGTACTACAAGAAGGCCTACTTTTATAAATGAACTCAGTCTGAAAATTTCGGTCCAAATATGTAATATGGTAAATTTAAGATGTACATTATTTTGGGACGCACATGCACGGTAATTCGAATCATTCTGACAAATTTGTACTACAAGAAGGCCTACTTTTATAAATGAACTTAGCTTGAAAATTTTGATCAAAATATGTAATATGGTAAATTTAAAGGGCACATTATTTTGGGATGTGCATGGACGTTGTTTTGAGTCAAAAATTTTTTTTTAAATAAATGGCACATTATTTTGTGACACACATAGACATTATTTTGAGTCAAAAAATAAAATAAAAAATAAAATATGGCATGTTACGTATTTTGCAAGTCAAAAAAACATATAAAAATAAAAATATTTAATAAATTTTATATATGAAAATTTGATGAATAAGAATAGTGTCAGAAATGTAATTGATAAATACTAAATTATATTAAAAGATAAAAAGTAACATATTTATTAATTTTTTTTGTAAATTATTTACCAAGTAAAAATAGAAATGAATTTCATTTGTTAGTTTAAATTTATAAACTACATAAAAAAAATCATATGAATATATTTTTTATACAATTTGTTGTTATAGACAGAAGTTCGTCTGATTGGCTAATAAATTCAAATTAATTTTACATTATTTATACAGTTTAAAGTTTTTAGAAAAAAATAAAACTATGAAGAATAAACAAAAAAGAACATATAAAAAGTTTTATTAGGGCTGTAGGACTCCAACATTAAAATAATCTAAATCAAATTTGGTTTTAGAGAAGTTAGCATGGTAATAACCTATCTTTAATAAGTCACTATTATGCTAACTTCTCTAAAACAAGAATTTATTTAGATAATTTTTAATGATGGAGTCCTACAACCATAATGAAATCTTTTATATGTTTCTTTTTTGTTTATTCTTCGTAGTTTTATTTTTTCTAAAAAGTACTTTAAACTATATAAATAATGTAAAATTAATTTGAAATTATTAGCCAATCAGACGAACTTCTGTCTATGAAAACCCGAACCATTACGAATATTACCAAACCACTCCGTATCACCACCAGGGCCATTTTTTTATAGGGCACGATAAGCCCATTACCGAGCTGAAATGTCCTATCTTAATCACTTATCATAGCGAGTAAGTACAGTAACCAAACTTTTTACAGCAAATCACTGTACAAATCACGATAAGTTTATTACAAAACTAACACAACTCTATTTAAATCACCTGCGCAACCACAATAACCTATAAGTACAAGTAAATGTCTGAACAATTTTTCACTATTATTAATGCAAAGCTCCAGAGTTTTTCTATAATTTATAATATGAAACCGATGAAACTTGAAGATTGCATTAAAATTGCGTTGTAATTAATATGTAATATAAACAGCATAATATATAATACGGCATACTTAGTTATGACGTGAAATTATTCGATTACTACATCCAATCAAAAATCAAGATTTTGTGTATGAACGCAAAATTTGATTAGAACCATACATTGTACTGTACGTTGTATTACGTTCCTGTAATATGATAGATAAAAATTAGAATAAAGACCATACAATAGCAAAAAAAGGTCATTTCGATTTAGTTGGATCGACGATCTGCATAATTTTTTTTATGCTTGTCTTATTTTTTTTAAATTCATTGATTAAATAAAGGAAATATAAGAATTCTAAAATGAGTTGCACAAAATATAATGACCGTTGAAGTGATACTCGTACTGTATTATAATTACAGAACTCACGGGACTCAAAAATTATGCAGATTGTCGAACAAACTAAATCGAAAAGAGCGATAATTGTAATCACACAATCACGTAATAGTAAGACTTGTGTACATTTAACCGTTTCACGATGTTCTTGATTACGTCCATCTTAATGTACGCATATAAGTATAAGGTATATGATTTACAATACAAAGTTAACTCTTCCCTTATTTTCTTGCGTCTAAAATGTCAACTACAAAAAACACGATTATTGCTGGAAAAGCAATTAGTATGATTGATTTTTGTTGTAATCAACTGGACTTTATAAATCGTCAAAAATCAGCAGATATGACTGAATCAAATAGATTGTGCTCGAATGGTCATGCGTACGAATATGGATTTTTTCCACCTGATGAAAGGGATGAGTATGCAGCATTCTATTATTATAAAAAGTCAGCAGACATGAATAATCCTTATGGAATATATAACGTTGCCCGTTGTTATGACTTAGGAATTGGAGTTAAACCAAATAAGAATGAGGCGAATATATACTATCAAAAATTTGCCAAGGCAAGCAATTTATTGATTGATTGTCAAAATTCAACAAACAAAGATAATTCAGATAGAATATTTTGGCTTGGTTATTGTTATGAATATGGAATCGGAGTTGAAAAGGATGAAGAAAAGGCGTTCATTTACTATCGACAATCTGCAAATAAGAATAATCCTAATGGAATATATCAAGTTGGTCATTGTTATTACTTAGGAATTGGAGTTGAAATAGATAAGCAAAAAGCATTTACACATTATCTTAAGTCGGCCGTGGTAGGTAATCATTTGGGAATTTTTAAAACTGCCATTTGTTATAAATATGGAATTGGTGTGGATGAGGACTTTCACAAATATTCTTTCTGGCTTAAAAAGGATTATACTTACTGCTATTACAACAGTGTTGGCAGTTTCCCTCATTTTTCTCATTATAATTATCATGGTTATTATATTCCTCTTGAAAAATGTCGAAATTCGACTTTTGGAAGATGTAAATATTGTAAAAAAGATAACACGAACAAAGCGTGGTGTCTAACATGTGATCCTATCATGACAATTCAAAGGTGGACAAGCGGAGATAAATATATCGACTACTGTTTAAAACAATTTCAACTAAGAGCCACTAAATATGAGTATGTAATTGAATGGATTCAATTTAATCAACTAGACAATATTGAAAAAATTGGCGAAGGAGGATTTGGCATTACATATTCTGCAACCTGGTTGGATGGTACACGAAAAATTTCCGAAATTGGTGAACATTCCTACGAAAGATCACGTGAACCATTCACTACCGTTGCACTCAAGACCTTGTCCGGGTTTAAGGAAAATTCCTTCGACTTATTAGAAGTATTTAAAAATCATATGCAATTTAGATTATTTGGTGGTAGACTTGAGATATATGGATTAACTCAAAACATAAAAACAAATGAATATTTGATGGTATTTCAATACGCTGATAATGGCAATCTTCATAAGTTTTTAAAGGCTAAATTTCAAGATCTTACCTGGGAAACTAAATTAAAAATACTCTTAGATATTTCACATGATTTAGATCAAATTCATAGAATAGGACGTATTCATGCTGACTTACACAGTGGTAATATTTTGATAGGTAAATGTATCAGTGAAAATGTAGATGCCTACATTTCGGACCTAGGATTGTCGAAAAACAAAAATGCTTCAGAATGTAATACTTATGGAGTTTTACCCTATGTTGCTCCAGAAGTTTTATTAGGTCAAAAGTACACACAAGCAGCGGATATTTATAGCTTTGGAGTCATCATGTCAGAGATGTCTACTGGACAAAGACCTTTTGATGGTCGAAATTTTAATTTAGGTCTTGCACTAAACATTTGTTATGGATTACGGCCTGAGTTTGCTCCCGGAACTCCTAGTTGTTACAAAGAATTGGCAATACAATGCATGAATATTCATTCACAAGAACGGCCTACTGCTTCTATTATTTGGGGTAAACTTAATAATTGGATATTAGGTTCAGATGATGCAAAAGAAATTAAAATGCAATTCATAGATGCTGATAATATAGTCAAAGCTTTTCCCATTATCTTACCAAAACATCCAGATATTAGGTACACTAGCAAAATTATTGACACACAAGAAATATTGAGAGAAATTAGAAATATGGAATCCTTTAAAAAGAAAATTCGAAAAATTATTTGGTTTATAACCCGTATTTCCCCATATTTTATTATAATTTTGTCGTCTATTCTTTTGTATTATATTTCTATTTTATTTAAGGGTTGATATGCATTTTATATAGCTTTTATTAATTTAAATAAGGCCATTTGAAGTTATAATTTCGTTTAACGTTCCTTTCGAAGCTTAAGCGTAGTGGGGTGAGGGGGTCAAATTAAACAAACATTATATATAATTATATAACACCTCAAAAAAATCACCATTATTATTGGTTGGTTCGTAGTCACATGATTTATTGAAATCTCAAAGATGTAGCGGACATTCTGATTGGCTCGTTTAATTTCAGGGGCTGTTGGAGGCGGTGGGGGAGAACGTTAAACGAAATTGTAACTTCAAACCGCCTAACTATTAAATTAGAAAAAAAAAATCAATTGTTATTTTTCATTGAATTAACATTCATAATCTATTCAGAGATCAATATCCGAAATTACATGTATGGCAGCAAAAATCCATCAGAAATTACCTTGCCAAAAAGCCATAGTACTCATGAAATAACACAAATAATGAATTAAAACATACTGGCACATAATAAATTCGGTACAAAGTAAGCATCAGGCGATTTCTCACTAGAACTGATATGTAGCGTACTAGTATAATATACATTTCCAACTCCCTTTACAATTCAAGCACCTATTATACAATTTTTGTTAGTTTAATTTTTTATATACACATATCGGCGGATTTTCCAACTTGGGCCTTTTTTCTAGTCTCCAGATCTAATAGAAAATTATTAACTCAGCAGTAAGGACCCCTTAAATAATAATTACGCAAATAGTCAACTGATTTGTCCGTCCTACGAAGTACCCTAAAAATTAAGAATCTCATAGAAAAATTAACGTCTAACTGATTACCCCACCCCTTTAACTGATTACTTTTTATAATGAGACTTCGGCTTTTCAATTATATTACAATAAAAATAAATAAAAATATATATTGTCCCACCCTAGCTAATCATCCATAATTTTTGGGGCCCTTTAGAAATCCGCCGATATGATAATCTTTAATGTTTTTCAACAACATTTATTTCTATATACGTCTTTTATTAGTAATGTAACCTTTTACAGTTTCGTCACCTTTCGTAAGATTTTATATTTTTTTTTATTATTTTTTTATGTTGTTCAATGATCTAATTAGTTTAAAATCACGAGGCAGCAAGCTTTATTATTATTATTATATGGTTATTAGTGGTAACCGGTTATTATCATAGGGAACGACCAACTATGATCCCTTTTGTTAATTTTGGATAGTTTGATGAACATGGTTTTTCTTTATTTTATTTAAAACAGTGCGTGACTTTTTGGCTCGATTATATCCACTCGACTTACGCCGTTTGACAATTTCGACTTGAACGCGGATCACAGCACCATTTTTAATACATGACAAATATATGTTAAAGTTACTATCATACAGAAGGAAGTCAATCGTGAGATTGAAAGCAATTTTGATGCACAATATCTTGTAATAAATTTATCCAAAGCACGATATTGGAATCTGGCATTATGCTCAACCGAAGCACAATCAGCTACTTCATTCTTTTCAACTGAGCTATCATCTTCATTCTGCCCAACCGATTATATGACTGACTCATTTGTAAAATACGAAACTATTTATTAATTCAACAATAAAAAAAAAAAGCATATTTTGAATATTTAATCAGATGATTCTGATTGTCTTGCGAAATAGAGTCGAAGCATAAAAGTAATTGACTTAACCTAAAAAATAATACTAATAAATAAATAAATAAATAAGAGCAAATAAATTGTAAGAAATTATAAGATTCTTTCGAATTAGTCGGTTTTAAAATTTCGTTTTTTTTTCTTTGTTTTTGGGTTCTTGTCTTTCATCATCGATTTCAATTATTTTTTTATTTATTTCTGTAGAAATATATCGAAATTTGTATGCATCGATATTATTAAATATATATATATATCCAATTGTAGAAAAAAATTTTTGGTCGTTAACTCCACTCATTTTTCACCGTTACGCTCAAAATATCGTTATGTTGTTAATGTTGAGCAGAAAGAGTATGAAAAAATCCAATAAAAGGTAATGCTATAAATTAGGCCGTTCGAAGTTAATTTTTCGGTTAACATCACTTTCCAGAACTCTCGAAAGGGGGGGAGGGGGGCAAATGAAACGAACATATGAAATGAACAAACTATTTTTAATGTAGTAAATCTATTATAACGAATTGACTTAGTAAAATTTAGTCTAGAGATTCTAGTTGAGTTGCTAATTAGGCCAGATAAATTTGATTCAGTAGTTAACATTACATTCCTATTACAAAAGAGAGGAGCAAAAAATAAATAAGTAAATAATTAATTATATAATGCATTCATCCGAGAAAAAGAGCTTCGTACGTACAATTGTTACAGCCAAAACTCTTTGATCTAGCGATCGGATCTGCATCATTTTTTTAAAGTATGTATGCAGCGATCACAGATCGGAATTTTCAAGTTCCTATTGGCTGAATATAATTTTGTCCCTCATTGAATGAAATAAATCACTGATCGGATGGCTTAAAAAATGTAAAAAAAAGTATCGATTCGAATAATTGATTTGTAATTGTTATTTTCGTAAAGTTAAATGTTTATTTAAATATTTCTTCTTACTCGTGAATACTAGTTCTCTCTGAATAAAAAGACACTTCGGAAGCTCTTTTTTCGGCAATTTTTCTTGAATCGTTTCATCACAAACTGAAATAAACATATATAAGAGAACAGCCAAGTGGGAGCTAAAATTTTTATCTTTTTTTCTCGTTTTTTTTTTAAAAAAAAAATTTATTTTTTTATTTTTTATTTAAATTAGCCGGGACAATAAAAAGCCACGGGTTTAAACTTTTAATTTAATTTATTTTGACTTAATTTAAATTATTTATTTTAAATTATTTTAATTTAATTTATTTAATTTATTTTATTTTATTTTTTTAAAAATTATTTTTTATTTTATATTTTCCGTATAACCGTGAAATAGCGCATAGGGAGTTATTTCGAATTTCTGCCAGAATTAAGCTTAATTTAGGCCGAAATTCGAAACCACACACCATCACGCTATTTCGTGGTTATACGGTTATTTTTAATTTTTACTTTTTTTATATGTTCATTTTACCGGGGGACGCCAAAGGGGAGGGGTGATGTTAACCGAAAAATTAACTTCGAGCGGCCTTAGTATGGAAATACTGAAATATCAATTATATGTAGTACTGTAATAAGAAGTTAATTATATTCATTAGTAATATCGACTTTATACTTACGTACTTACTTACGTATTTAATTACTACGTATTCTGCATGGTCGATAGATTACAATTAATTTTGATCACTGGAGCTTAGTCAAACTGCGCCACCAACCTGGCACACATTCAAGACGTGCCATATTTTTATATAAGATTCTAAAAATCTACAGAATCTCTGATTTTAAACAATCGTGATTTTTAAGATCATCCCTACAGTCAGGGGTTAAATTATATACAGTAAACAGTAAACAGATCGACATAGATCAGCCTGTCATGTCAGAAGATCCAGTAACTAACCGTAACAATACAATTATTGTATAAAAATGAACTGCCTTTGTGTATTTTTTTTTCACACTCCACTTTGTTTCGTGCCTTATCCTTGTTACTATATCCACCTTTTCCATTTTATACAAAATGCCCACCCAAAAAATTTGTTAAAATTGTTTCTTGCAATCTTTGGTCCTTAAAAAGTTTTATGTCTTGTTGATTATTATAAAGATCCCTAAAACTACAAAGCCAGAAAAGGCTTCTAATAAGGTCCAGAAACTCTTAAACATAAAAAAGGTTAGTCTAGAACCAATATTCTGGTTTTATACTTCTTTTTTCTTTAGTTTATCTAGTTAAACATTTAATGAAAAATACTAATATTTTTCTTATTTTAAAGGCAAAAATGCATTACATACTTTAACTCACTTGACGAATAAATGTAAATAAAAAATCAACTCAATGAAATAACAATAACTATCAAGTTGAGTCTGATAATGATAAATAAGATAACACCAAGGCAGCACAACAAGCATCTATTAGATCTGTTATTTCCTCACATTCAAAAAAGCAGTCAAATTCTGTAACAAAACAATCGACCAAAGGTAATTTTAAACTTTTAATTTATTTACTTCTATTTGCTATTATTTTTAATAATAATTATTTTATCTACCTTAAACAAAGGGCTAAAAACTAAGCTAACATAATGTTTCATCTTTTAGTTATTAAGGAAAATAATCAGGATGTAATTGAACGTTTTGACAATATCGAAAAGTTGATAAAAAGTCAGCAAAAATCCGAGACAGCCATTTCCATGTCTGGCATCAAGAGTAAAGACTGGAATGCGATTGAGAAAAGCAACCGGCCTCAAGCTAGTGGCAACTGATTATATTATAAAAAAGGAGGTAAAGACTGACGCATTTCAATGGGATGAACGATCTGAGGGGAACCAAAAGGACAGATATCTGCCTTATCTTAGATCGTTACTACAAATGCATAAATATAGAAATTTGGATTTGTTTGATGCCTCAAAGAATAATAACTTTTTAAGTATGATACTATAGATCATGCGGGCGGCTTTGCCACCTGTTTTAATAATTATGTATATAGAAGCAAAGTTGTATTGTGTGACAATAATTTGGATACTGCTGATAAATTAATGGGTTTCATATTTCTAAATTAATTCGAATGAAATGAGAAACGTAACTTGATAGTAAAAGGTTCATGAACTTGAATAATCTATACCTCACTTTATAAATATTTATATATGTTGTGCATGAATTTTAATTGAGTTGCGTCAGACCGAAATTTGATTTTGAGATGATTTAGATCAACTTACCTATTTATTTATTGTGTGTCATGTTAAAATTGGCCGATTCTTGAAATAAATTTTTTTTATTTACGTTCTCTGATTTTGTATTAATATTCATCTATGTAATTTATGTGTGTTCAAGCTGATTTGTTATGAATGAAAATTGTTAGGCACAATAATACATGTTCTTAACAACAATACACGTGAATATATTACATTTAATAGTGAATATCAATGTAGCTAGGTTGTTTATTTTAAATGCATAGTTTAATAATATTCATTATACTTGGTCCAATGGGTTCCACAATACCCAATACATAATTAATAATTGATTAGATTTATAAAAGCGTTTATATTAAAAATTTAATTAGAGAACAAATTATTCAATAAATATATAATCATTTTATCAACAATGTATAACAATGATTATACTCACATGATAAATTAATGAAAACAAGATAATAGTTAGATCGCAGTTTCTTCAAAAATCCTAAATACGACCAGGGCGGCCCTAAAAATTACGGGTCATATAATTATGTGCCATAGCCGCAGCCGCAGTCGCAGTTCAACAATGCAATGAAAAATCGGTGCGATATCAAAATTGTCAGTTCAATCTCATTTTATGATAGCACATTAGATATAAATAAAATCTTCTTCATACTTAATAAAGGCTGCTTAAAATAGCAAAATTTTTAAATAATTTATACAAATAATATATACGTTGATATTACATTTCTTATGATTAATTTGAATTACAGTTCTAGTGATTAATTTGAAGATAATTACAGTGTTACTTTATCGTAAAGTA